CTTATTAGTATTTGTTAATTGTTAGAGTAATTTTGGTAGCCTTAGTTTATTTATTGTCTTGTTTTCCACCACTCTTATTCATATACACCTCTTTTAAAACTCTATTGTTAGCACTTAGCGTTGCAATCTCCCGTTTCTCCGTGGATCTCGACCCTTGCTTGCCTCTATACTCATTTAGGTAATCTAGGATTAATTTGATAGGAAAGTGTATTGACGACGACATTTCGTTCCTCATCAAATTTTGGCGCCGTTGCCGGGGAAATGGTCAATTTTGTTTTGCTTTTGTGTTATTTTAGAATTTTATTTTCTTTTGTTTTTGTCCATTGTGCTAGTCATTTCTAATCGTTTGCTTAGCGTTGGTGGATGCAAAGGAGATCTCAAGGACCACCTTCTCACTACATTGATCACGAAATAGACCGTACCTTGAGAAAAGTCCGTAGACTTTATCAAGAAGAAGGAAGAGGTTTTGGAGCTATTTTTTATAGTGAGAGTGATTCTTGCTCTTCACACTCTCAAGGTGAAGAAATGGCTGGGCAACAGGCGGACGTTTTATTTCGTGAGTTCGGTAATCCGGAGGATTATGAGCTCACCCGTGGGATATTGCTACCTGCCACGAAAACTAACTTCACCATCCATCCTCAATATACAAGAATGGTACAAGCGGAGCAATTTTCGGGTTCTCCAAGTGAAGAACCCATTGAGCATCTTGATAGATTTCTTGAGCTTTGTGCCATGATACAAACCAACCAAGTTTCTCAAGAATACATTCGGATGCACCTATTCCGAAAGTCTCTTGCGGGGAGAGCAAAGAAGTGGCTCAAGCAAGTCAAGCCTAATTCTCTCACAACATGGAGGGAAATTGTCCAAGAATTCTTGAAAAGGTTCATCTCCGAAGAGAAAACCGCCGATATGAGGAGGAAGATTGCATCTTTTGAACAAGAGGCGGAGGAAAGCCTTAGTGAAGCTTGGGAGAGGTTTAAAGAGTTGGTGCAAGCATGTCCTCACCATGAATACAATCAAAGCCTACTCATGAGATTCTTCTACGATGGATTGGAGCCAATGTCTAGAGCCAACTTGGACGCAGGGGCGGGTGGACAATTGATCAAAGTCCCTCAAAACCAAGTTGAAGCAACAATTGAAGAGGTGGTGAAGAACTATTCTTAGGGAAGTAGAAGGAGGAATGCACCTAGAAAGGGTGGAAAGTATGAGTTGGAGAAAGTTGATCAATTACAACATCAAATTGAGGCGTTGACAAAAGGGCTTGCAAAGTTGAATACAAATATCAATAGTGGTGCAAGCTTCTCCCAAGTTAACTCTTTCTCTTGTCAAAATTATGGTGGTACAAACCACGATACATCTTATTGTGGAGGTTTGAGCCCGGAGCATGTCGCGGCTTACAACACAAGGAAAGATGGGTATAGGGGAAGTGGTGGAGGAGTAGCTTGGAGAAAACCACCACCCGGATTTGCAAACCAACCCCAACAATGGAACCAACAAGCTTAACAACCATACAATTCCAACCCACAATACCAAAACCACAACCCTACTACATACCAAAACCAAAACCCAAAAGGAAACTACCCAAGGAACCATCAACAAAATAGCTAACACCAATACCAAAATCAAAATCAAGCAACTCAAAGGAGTCAAGAGCAAGTGTTTCAACCTGATTCTACTCAAACCCAAATTCTCCAACAATTCCAAGCCATGAATCAACAAATCCAAGAGCTTAAGGCTCACAACAAGATGGTTGATTCTCAATTAGCTCAAGTGGCCGAAAATTCTTCCTTAAACTCTTCTTCTAAACTACCCGGACAACCAAACACAAACCCATCCCACAACCTCAAACAACCCGACACATGCAAGGCGATCACCTTAAGATCGGGAGCTTCTTATGAGGGCCCAAAAGGGAGTGAGCTGATAAGTGGCTTTTATGCCACTAATCGGGATCCTTTTTCCTATCCTTTCCCTCCATTTATCGCTTGTTTAGCCCTATTTTACCGCGCTTCTCCATATATTGCACAACAATGCTATTTCCCTCGTACTTCCCTTCTACTTTACCTTTTTGTGCTGTTTTTGGGTGTTTTCCTGTGTTTTGCAGAGGTAAACCAATCGATACGTGAAGTAGAAGAAAGTTCGGGATAGTTTCGAGAGCCGGTTTCAATAGCAAATCAAGTGAGGAGCTTTAATCAGGCTGTGCGCTCAGAAGAGCCCTCTCTCTCGCTCTCCGTGGGCGCGCAACCCAAGGGAGAGGGCGCGCATTCAAGGACAAATCAGGATGTAAAGCGCTACTCATCCTGCGCGGGCGCGATGATTCCTGGAGAGGGCGCGCAGATTAGCTTGAACTCTTGAAGAAAGAAGGCAAATTTCTGTAGATGACAAGCGCGCTCAGTAGAGGGCGCGCAATATACTTTGCGGGCACGCATATATTTGTAGAGGGCGCGCACATCATCCTGCGCGGGCGCGCAAAGAACTGTAGCGGACGCGCACGCCGTCAGCCTAGCCCGTTTTTATTTCCTTACTTAAAAGCTGATTTGAAAAGGGAATGAAGGAAGCTATTCCATTTAGGGTAATATGCTTAGAACATTTCTAGAGAGAGAATAGCCTCCATTGATGCTTGTATAAGTTTTAGAGAGAGAAAATTCAGATTCTTAGTCTTTTATCACCCAAACTTTAATCTTTAATCAAGATTTGTGCTTTGATCATCCTTGTAATCAATATTGGAGCAATCTATTGGATTTTTGATGGTTCACCATTGAAGGTTCAAAGACCCATTTTCTTATTTCAATACAAGATTGAAGCTTTGTGAGCTCTTTCTATCTTAATCCCTTTTATTTTGGTTTATTTACATATTTCAAGTATTTTTGATTGTTATGTTGATGATTTTGATTATGGACAATATTTTGGGTATTGTTGATATGAGTAGTTTCTCTCTCCTAGGCTAGACTTTTAGCTAGGGAAGGGGAATGGATGACTTGGTTGCTATTTGATTGAATACTTGATTTTTGGGGATTTAAACCCTTGTTGTATGAACTTGAGCTTATTGTTATATGGTTGATGATGTGCACCATTGACTATATTATTACATGTCCTAATTGATGCGTGGGAGTGATCATGTTAGGATAGATCGTGGTGTATACATTGCTTAATCAATTGCATGGGAATGAATTGTGTTAAGTAGGATCCTTTCTCCCTTGGTTGCGAATCCTTGATTATCTATGTGTTTAGCTCTTAATCTCCAAGTTTGATGTTCCCCGATCCCCCTAGCGTTTTTAATCTCATAGTTTCCAATACTTATTAGTATTTGTTAATTGTTAGAGTAATTTTGGTAGCCTTAGTTTATTTATTGTCTTGTTTTCCACCACTCTTATTCATATACACCTCTTTTAAAACTCTATTGTTAGCACTTAGCGTTGCAATCTCCCGTTTCTCCGTGGATCTCGACCCTTGCTTGCCTCTATACTCATTTAGGTAATCTAGGATTAATTTGATAGGAAAGTGTATTGACGACGACATTTCGTTCCTCATCAAATTTTGGCGCCGTTGCCGGGGAAATGGTCAATTTTGTTTTGCTTTTGTGTTATTTTAGAATTTTATTTTCTTTTGTTTTTGTCCATTGTGCTAGTCATTTCTAATCGTTTGCTTAGCGTTGGTGGATGCAAAGGAGATCTCAAGGACCACCTTCTCACTACATTGATCACGAAATAGACCGTACCTTGAGAAAAGTCCGTAGACTTTATCAAGAAGAAGGAAGAGGTTTTGGAGCTATTTTTTATAGTGAGAGTGATTCTTGCTCTTCACACTCTCAAGGTGAAGAAATGGCTGGGCAACAGGCGGACGTTTTATTTCGTGAGTTCGGTAATCCGGAGGATTATGAGCTCACCCGTGGGATATTGCTACCTGCCACGAAAACTAACTTCACCATCCATCCTCAATATACAAGAATGGTACAAGCGGAGCAATTTTCGGGTTCTCCAAGTGAAGACCCCATTGAGCATCTTGATAGATTTCTTGAGCTTTGTGCCATGATACAAACCAACCAAGTTTCTCAAGAATACATTCGGATGCACCTATTCCGAAAGTCTCTTGCGGGGAGAGCAAAGAAGTGGCTCAAGCAAGTCAAGCCTAATTCTCTCACAACATGGAGGGAAATTGTCCAAGAATTCTTGAAAAGGTTCATCTCCGAAGAGAAAACCGCCGATATGAGGAGGAAGATTGCATCTTTTGAACAAGAGGCGGAGGAAAGCCTTAGTGAAGCTTGGGAGAGGTTTAAAGAGTTGGTGCAAGCATGTCCTCACCATGAATACAATCAAAGCCTACTCATGAGATTCTTCTACGATGGATTGGAGCCAATGTCTAGAGCCAACTTGGACGCAGGGGCGGGTGGACAATTGATCAAAGTCCCTCAAAACCAAGTTGAAGCAACAATTGAAGAGGTGGTGAAGAACTATTCTTAGGGAAGTAGAAGGAGGAATGCACCTAGAAAGGGTGGAAAGTATGAGTTGGAGAAAGTTGATCAATTACAACATCAAATTGAGGCGTTGACAAAAGGGCTTGCAAAGTTGAATACAAATATCAATAGTGGTGCAAGCTTCTCCCAAGTTAACTCTTTCTCTTGTCAAAATTATGGTGGTACAAACCACGATACATCTTATTGTGGAGGTTTGAGCCCGGAGCATGTCGCGGCTTACAACACAAGGAAAGATGGGTATAGGGGAAGTGGTGGAGGAGTAGCTTGGAGAAAACCACCACCCGGATTTGCAAACCAACCCCAACAATGGAACCAACAAGCTTAACAACCATACAATTCCAACCCACAATACCAAAACCACAACCCTCCTACATACCAAAACCAAAACCCAAAAGGAAACTACCCAAGGAACCATCAACAAAATAGCTAACACCAATACCAAAATCAAAATCAAGCAACTCAAAGGAGTCAAGAGCAAGTGTTTCAACCTGATTCTACTCAAACCCAAATTCTCCAACAACTCCAAGCCATGAATCAACAAATCCAAGAGCTTAAGGCTCACAACAAGATGGTTGATTCTCAATTAGCTCAAGTGGCCGAAAATTCTTCCTTTAACTCTTCTTCTAAACTACCCGGACAACCAAACACAAACCCATCCCACAACCTCAAACAACCCGACACATGCAAGGCGATCACCTTAAGATCGGGAGCTTCTTATGAGGGCCCAAAAGGGAGTGAGGAGGTAGAGAAGGAAGGGGAAGATAAGAAGGGAGATGAGGAGGTAAATGTTGAGAAAGAAGTTGGAGACAAGAAGTCCAAGGGTAAGGACCCCATTGACACTAGCAAGTATGATAATCCGGTAACTTATCTCGGGAGGGTTGCGGAGCGAAGGTTGAATGACAAATTTGCAATGTTTCTTGATGTGATGAAAGGGTTACACATCAACCTACCTTTCCTTGAAGTGGTGACACAAATGCCATCTTATGCGAAGTTCCTCAAAGATATCCTATCGAACAAAAGGAAGCTCAAGGATGAATTTATTACACTTCCACATCAAGTGAGTGCGCTTGTTCAACATAAGATGCCAAAGAAGCAAAGAGACCCCGGAAGTTTCACATTGCCGGTCAAGATTGGCAACTTGGGGCCCAAAGGATCTCTAGCCGACCTTGGGGCTAGTGTTAGCCTAATGCCGTTGTCCATTGCTCAATAATTGAATATTGAGATGATACCCACAAGGAAGACCATTCAACTAGCCGACCGATCGGTTAAGTTGCCTTGTGGAGAAATTGAAGATGTCCCCATTCAAGTGGGACACATCTATGTACCTTGTGATTTTGTTGTAATGGATATGGAGAAGGATGAGAACACTCCTTTGATTCTTGGAAGGGAAACATTGAAGACATTGGGGGCCTTCATTAATTGCAAAAAACAATACCATTACTTGTGAAGTAGCCGATGAAAACATTGTTTTTGAATTCTCTAAGCTACTCAAGACCCCCATGGTTGAGAAGTGTTATAGGGTTGATGTGGTAGGTGAGGAGTTGGATCGTTTGGGAAGGGTTATGATGAGCCCTCAAGATCCAATGGTTGATGCTCTTACATGCAAGGAAGAGTACTACTCTCACAAGGCAAAGGAGTTTGTCATGACTATTGAAGAAGCCAAAAGAGAGGAAGAGAACGATCCTAAGCATGAAGAGCTAGCACAAGAAGAGGAGAAATTGGAGGAGAGTTCTAAGCCTCCTCCCAAGGTAGAACTCAAACCCCTCCCCCCCTCTTTGAAATATGCTTACCTTGGAAATGAAGGGGAATACCCGGTTATTGTCAATGCTATCCTTGATGGGCATGATTTGGAAAAATTGCTTGACGTTTTGAGAAAATATAGAAGTGTGATAGGGTATAGCATTGATGATATCAAGGGTATTAGCCCTTCGTTGTGCATGCATCGAATTCATCTTGATAATGATGATGCCACCTCCATTGAGCCTCAAAGAAGGTTAAATCCTAACCTTAAAAAGGTAGTAAAAAAGGAGATTTTGAAACTACGTGAAACGGGGATTATTTACGCTATCTCCGATAGCAAATGGGTAAGCCCGGTTCACGTAGTTCCTAAGAAAGGTGGCATGACCATACTCAAGAATGAGAAGGGAGAGGACATCTCCACCCGAACGGTGACCGGGTGGAGAATGTGCATTGATTATCGGAAGTTGAATAAAAATACAAAGAAAGATCACTTCCCTCTCCCTTTCATCGACCAAATGTTGGAAAGGTTATCAAAACATGCCTTCTATTGCTTCTTGGATGGATACTCGGGATTTTTACAAATCCCAATCCACCCTAAGGATCAAGAGAAGACCACTTTCACTTGTCCTTATGGGACATTCGCATACCGAAGGATGCCCTTCGGCCTATGCAACGCCCCATCGACTTTTCATCGATGCATGACCTCCATTTTCTCTGAAATGTTGGAGAATGAAATTGAAGTATTCATGGATGATTTCAGTGTAGGCGCCTCTTTTGACATGTGCTTATTTAACCTCGAAAAAGTCTTGAAGCGATGTCAAGAGACGAGCCTTGTTTTGAATTGGGAAAAATGCCATTTTATGGTTGAGGAGGGGATTGTCCTCAGCCATAAGGTATCAAAAAGAGGGATTGAAGTTGATCTAGCTAAGGTATCGGTAATAACCAAGCTACCCCCGCCTACTTCCATTACGGGAGTTAGGGCTTTCTTGGGGCACGCGGGTTTTTACCGGAGGTTTATCAAAGATTTCTCCACTATATCTAAACCTTTAACCGGATTGCTTCCAAAGGATAAAGATTTTTGTTTTGATGATAGTTGCCTTCGAGCCTTCAATAAGCTCAAGGAAGCTCTCACATCTGCTCCTATAGTGCAAGCTCCAGATTGGAGCTTGCCATTTGAACTAATGTGTGATGCTAGTGACTTCGCAGTGGGAGCCGCATTAGGTCAAAGAGCAGGAGGCAAGCTACATGTTATTTCCTATGCTAGTAGAACCTTGGATGATGCCTAAAAGAATTATACTACTACAGAAAAGGAGATGCTTGCAATTGTGTTTGCTATGGACAAGTTTCGGCACTATCTTGTTTGTTCCAAAGTGATAGTATACACGGACCATGCTGCGGTTCGATACTTAATGAACAAGAAGGATGCAAAGCCTAGGCTAATACGATGGGTCCTCCTCCTTCAAGATTTCGACATTGAAATGAGGGATAAGAAGGGGGCCGAAAACCATGTTGCCGATCACTTGTCTAGATTACCTCATAATGAAGTTGAAAGTGTTCCGATAAATGAGGAGATGGGTGTTGAGACCCTTATGGCTATTGCCTCTTCTCCTAGTCCGTGGTTTGAAGATTTCGCAAATTACCTAGCTAGTGGAATTATCCCATACCAATACTCATCTCAGCAAAAGAAGAGGTTTTTCAAGGAAGTAAGGCGGTATTTTTGGGACGACCCATTATTATTCAAACAATGTGGGGATGGTATATTCCGGAGGTGTGTCCCGGACCATGAAATTGAGGGTGTGCTCGAACATTGCCATTCACTACCGTGTGGAGGACATGGTGGTGTGACTAAAACTGTGGCTAAAATCTCTCAATCCCTTCTATAGTGGCCTACCATGTATCGTGATGCCCAATGATACATATCTAGGTGTGATAGGTGCCAAAGAGCGGGAGGCATCACAAAACGGGATGAAATGCCTCAATTGGGTATCCTTGAAGTTAAACCGTCTGATGTTTAGGGGGTTGATTTCATGGGTCCATTCGTGTCCTCATGTGGAAATGCTTATATATTGGTTGCGGTTGACTACGTGACCAAGTGGATAGAGGCTATACCATCGCCAACCAACGACCACAAAGGAGTCCTCAAGCTTCTAAGGAAGATCATTTTTCCAAGATTTGGGGTGCCCCGGACTCTCATTAGTGATGGTGGATCGCACTTTGCCAAGAAGCAGCTTGAAGCCTTCCTCAAGAAATATGGTGTCCACCATAAAGTAGGGCTCCCATATCATCCCCAAACCCAAGGCCAAGTTGAGGTATCGAACCGAGAGATCAAGAACCTACTTGAGAAGATGGTGAACCGGACTCGAAAGGATTGGTCCCTCAAACTTGATGATACTCTATGGGCCCTTAGAACGGCCTACAAAGCCCCGATAGGAACTACTCCATACCGGTTGGTTTATGGCAAGGCTTGCCATCTCCCGGTAGAGTTGGAACATAAGGCTTGGTGGGCCATCAAGGAGCTTAATATGGACCTTGGGGAAGCCGGAAAGAAAAGGTTGATGAAATTGAATGAACTAGAGGAGCTTCGTTTCGATGCATACGAGAATTCAAGGCTTTATAAGGAGCAAACAAAGAAGTGGCACGATCAAAGGATAAGGTTCAAGGAATTCAAGGTTGGAGATGAAGTTCTACTTTTCAACTCTAGACTTCGTCTTTTCCCCGGAAAACTGAAATCCAAATGGTCCGGTCCTTTCAAGATTTCTAATGTCACTCCTTATGGGTCCTTCGAGCTAGATGCGGGCGATCACAAGTTTTGGGTTAATGGACACCGCATCAAACTCTATCATTCAGGGAACGAAGTTGGTCGTATTGAGTGCCTTAGGCTTGATCCTATGGATTACAAGCCTTCTCTTGTTGAACCTTAATGAATCGGAGCAATGGTCAAGCTAATGACCTTAAAAAGAAGCGCTTCTCGGGAGGCAACCCGAGCCCCTTTCTCCCTTCTATTCTTTGAATTTTTAATTTTTGTACCTAGATTTCATGATTGGATCTAATCCATAGTTGTTTTTATTGTAGGTCAAGTAGGCCCGAGGAAGGAGCACAATGAAGAGAATTAATGACATTCACGCGCTTTTGATGATCTCGGGATGGGAGCTCTCGAAGCCAAATCCGTAATATAGGAATATTGTCGTTCTGAACTTGAACTTGTGTATGCTTTTGATGGGGTTGTAATATTTGATAAACATTTTAGTTTTATGTGTTAGGGATTTTTAGTAGAGTAGAGAGCTTTTTAAATCGAAGAAGTTTGAGAGTTTCCTGTAGATGCCTTGAGAGGGCTCAACAGGGCGCTCATGAGGTCTGCGCGGGCACGCAGAGTCCCTAGCGCGGGCGCGCACTTTCTGGAAAAAAGGGGGAAATGTTTCTGTAGATGGCATTCGCGCCCGTGAGAGGGCTTTCACAGGTCTGTGCGGGCGCGCATAGTGGGTTTGCGCGGGCGCGCACGACTTCAGTTCAGAAAACGCAAGTACGCCTCTTTCGTCTTCATTTTCATTTTCATGCTCCCACTTCTCTCTCTCTCCCAACCCCTAACCTCCATCATACCTCAAAATCTTCACTTTTCCTCCCCAATTCTCCCTCAAAATTCATCAAACACTCACCAAAACCTCACTTTGCACACTTTTGCTCATCAAAAACCCTTGAATCTCACCGAAGAAATTTCAAGAAAACCCCAAAAAAACCCCAATTTCCCATTGCACGAAGCTAGCCCCCTCGGTGAAGTTTTCGTTCGAATTTTCATCTTCAAGAAGGTATATCTAACTCCCTAAGCCTAATTTCTACTACATTTTGATAGAATTCATGATAGACTTCTTGAATTTGTGATGTTTGTGGGAGAAATTTTGACTCAATTGAAATACATGTGATATTTTTGCAATTCTTATGATTATATTGACATGTATATGAGTATTCTTGCAAATTTGTGATTCTAATGAAATACTTGTGAATGATTTGCAATTCTTGGGATTTTCTTGAAATAGTTAGGGAATTGTGAATTGTTAGATATAGGTATTTGTGGGTTTATGATATGTAGATTGTTGGCCATGAATTTCAAGATGAGTGTGAGTAATTTGGAAATTTTGAGAATTGTTTGGGTGATGTATACATCTCATGATCTCCTTGCCTATTGACTAACTTTGTTACGTTGTTGTTGTATTTGTTGTGCTAATTGTTGTTTTGTAGGATTCCGCTTGATAGTGCGATTGAATTTTTGGTTGGTACTCTACGAATTGTAGTTTGGGTTGATATTTTCGGTGTTTTGGTGTGAAATTCTTTGTGGTATAAACTTTTGAGAAGTGGTTGGGGCAAAGATGTTGAAATTCAGTAGGAAACGATCAAAGAGTGGGACGGAACCACAACCCTCCCAACCTTCCCAATCCCAACAAAATCAACCAACTTTACCCCCTCTTACCTTCCAAA